GGGGGGGGGGGGGGGGGGGGGGGGGGGGGGGGGCTCATATCTGGGAGGGGGCATATAAGCGGAATAAAAAAATGTTCTGAAACTAGATAAAATGTACCTGTGAAACAAATTAAAGCTAATTACATACCATTACATTTAGAGCTATAATTTATAACAACAGCACACAGTTGGTAACAATTTAGCTTTAAAATTATCGCACGTCCATGATCTAAGTCTTTGAAGGCCACGCGAACAGACAAATTCAACAACCTTCCAGTGAAGTTCTTTGCCTTTGCCTGAAAAATCTTAATCTTCCAATCACTGGAAGCCTTGCCAGAATGCCTGAAAGGCTGAGGCCACAAATTCAGCACCAGCGGCCCTCCAACGCCACTCCAGAGGTCACCCTCACAATGGATGGGTGCACAAAAACAAACCTTCGACTTCAAACATAATTATGCGTACACAACCCAATCTGCAGCCCAATGTCCCTACAGAACAGGCTGATGCAGAGACCTACAGTTGTGACGAAGATGGGTGGTCAGACATCAACTCAGCAGTCGAAGAACTGTCCAAGAACATTGAGCCACAAGTCCTCCAGGATGCGGTGTTTTCGCCCACTCAAATGTTGACCATCCAGGAGACTGTGCAAACCTCCATTAACAAAGTTTTGCAGGTCTACAACATCCACGAGGCCCAAGCACTCCTTTGGGCCTGCATTGTCCTCTGGAAAAAAGCCTCAAAGACAAGATACTCCGTGGTGAGTACATTGACTTTTGTTTGTTACTGAGTGACTTCATGTATCGCTCCCAGGCCCCTGCTCTGCAGTTACGCTACCAGGTTCGAAAGAAAAAGCCAGTAATTGACACTTTTCAAAAGTGGCTAGATTCTTTTACTGCCTACATCCTGGTGATCATCGCGGTTTATCCTGCACATGCCTTGGAATTAATCAAACACCACCAAACCATCAGCAAAGCAGTCACTAAGTTTAAGGGTGCTTACCTACGACGAATAGTTCAGACACCGTGCTGCCTATGACCTTTCAAAGGCTAGGGACAAAATCAATCTTGAACACTGGACAGTCACCTTCTCTGGCCAAGTTAGGCCACATTGTTCTGTGTGCTCTAGCCTGTACCATCAGGCGGAGGATTGCCCCAACCAGGACCCAAGCAGAAAACCTCGCTGCCAAGCCCTTGTCTCCTTTGACTACAACAAACCCTCCAGCTGTCAATGCTGTTCCTGCAATTTCCCTCACAATTGTCGCTGTGGCTTAGGCAATTGATATCGCCTTCTGTATGATCAATTTGTATAGGCAGCCACACGGAAGACGTCTTCACGTAGTCGTTTTACGAAAGGACTCTTATAAATGGCAATTAATTAGTTTAGTTATGAATTAGCTTAGTTATCCAAAAAGGTTCTAGTTTCATTAAAATTTGAAAAATGAAAAAAAACATTTCACCCTTGACCCTTACCCTTGACCTGCGACCCTTACCATTGACCCTCACCCTTGACCCTTTACCCTTACCGTTGACCCTCATGCTTGACCCTTCACCCTTACCCTTGACCCGTGACCCGCATTTTAGCAAAGCCAACCATCCCTCCTTGTTGCACCATGGGATGCATAAGATATCCATAAACAAAAACAGAATTATTTGAAAAATTAGACCATGACCTAGTAAGTAACTTAAGAAAGTGAGAAGGAGTTTTGAAGGGTTAATTGTTCTATTAGGTGGAGAGACACTTTGAGAGCATGTACAATGTCTTTAGCTAATAAATTAACATGGAATAACCTGAACACTAAATCTGATGCTTCAACCCAAATCCCTTTTGACACTTAAGCTAAATAGATCACCACACCAGAAGTACATTAAAATTTCCACAATGCAACCTAGAGATGTGTTAGATATGGTAACTGCTTATTGGTCTTTTGACCATTAAATCTGGGGGAAATTAAACTCACAAAAGTGTCAAGTTCAACTGTCTTGTAAGCTGCTGTACCATACTCATCTTGGGTAGATTCTTTTCCAATCCAGAAGTGGACATCATACAAAAGCTTCAAAGAGAAATAATATATGATCATTACAAACTGAATTTATTGGTTAAAGTTCCCATTTTTTTAATGAGTGATAGCTAGCGTAGCTTAGCTAGAATGAGTTATGGCAGTTACATGTAGTTGGGGAAGAAATAATTCACTCGCCCAATCAGTCTATAGGTCGTAAACAATTTTTTGGTGGTAAATCCACTAACCACAGTATTTTGCGATAGGGCCGCCCACTGAGAACAGGATGGTTGCCAAAGCAATGAACTGATCTTTTGGAGTCCAACAAATGATCCCAAGTTAAGACTATTTGGTATGCAACAATGGTGGTTGTATAATTTGATCCATCAACCTCTTTGACAGAGGCTCTTAACTGTTTTCAAAAGAAAACACTTAATTTCTACGGTATCTCATTAAAATTCAGCTAGGATTGCTATGTATTTATATGCACCTAACAATTTTAAGCCCCAGGGGTTCCACCCTGGAGCTTAACATTGATACAAACTTCTTTCTGTATACACACAATCAATGGACAACTTAGAGGGTTATGTCTTCATGAATCTATTAACACAATACCACATAATACATTAAATTGAACTGTACCTCATCACTTTCCTTATCCTTATACGTGTTGAGAATAATGTAAGAGTCTCCACTGTAAAATTTGCCATAATCTTCTTTTGGCCAGTGAGTCACCTTAAACACACAATTCAGAATTCATATTTATTACACTGTTGATGTGTAACCCATAAAGTATTAATTCATAAAAAAAAAAAAAATAAACACATTACATGAAGAGAGTTCACAATATTCACAGAATTGATAGATTATAAAATTGGTAGTATAGATTATCATAAATCAAAATATAATTTGTTATGTGTATCAGTTCCAATTTATATCACTATTTTGAGGATGATAAGTGTTCAACATGTACATGTAATTGTTCACTTCATATACGTTTTTCACTACTCCACTGATGTGCTGGCTGGTTTTTCCAAGTTTTGTTTACCAACTAAATGACAAATCTATTCTCATACAGACAATTTTGCACATAATTGAAGGCTTTTGTGCAAAAAGGGCATAGATCACTTTTTGGGCTGATTTTCACTTTTTCAGGATCGAGCTAATTTTTGGCAGACTGACTTGTTTTGACATGAAAAGCATCGTTCTGTAATTTTTTTGTTGATTTGCGCTTTGTTTTCAAGAAATAACATATGCAAAAAACTCAGTTTTCCAAGGGTATCTTTTGGAGATCTTTTGTTGAACAAAAAACAAAAGAAACCTTTTGTTTTGCTAAACGATGAAGTCACCAAAGTATGGCATTTGCCACTAGTTGTTCGAACTGATACAAGTTTTATTATTAATGTAATTACACTATTCTCTTACTTTCTCTTACTGCACAAGCAAATAAGGCACTGAACGGGCTGGAGTCAAGTTTGTTTTGTCGTGACACCGGTTCGATATCAGGTTGGTCGATTTTTTTTTTCTGGTCTATTTCTCTACTTCTTTCAAAAATAAAAACATCTATTTAAAAAAAAAAAACTGTACTGAACAAATGCACTGTATTTCCAAGCCATCAGAAATTACTGTTTCCGAACTTAGAAGAGTTGTTTCAAGTCAGGGAAATTATAGCCCTATAACATGATCATTCAGACATAGACAGTGCTAATTTTCTCAGTTGGGTTCCATAGAGATATTACAACGTAATTCTTACATTTTGTTACCCTTCAATCAATGAGAGCACTTTGATTGCCAATGCGGCCTTGTTTTGAACCTTGGAAAAAATTCCTCTGGTTGGCCAGAAAAAATATTTTTCTGGCCAATCAGTGGGACAGAATTTGAACTCTTCTGGAACTGGTTCAGTAAGGGTCAAGTGCTCAGGGGCTCTCCCGCTCTTGAAGTAAACTTTTGCCCAAAAATATCTCTTACCTAAAAATATTGCATCGTTCCAACTAGCAGCCCCTGGGTCTCCAAGGATGCATATCAGGAAGACCTTACAACTCCTTTAGAACATATCCCACCAAAGCAACTTGCCAAGTGTTTTCAAAAGTTTTAGAAAATGTAGTGACAGTTTCTTAACAACAAAAAGTCACTTACTGCCATTTTGTTATTAACTTCAGTGTAAATCTTCTGGAGAGTAACTTCCCGCAGAAGTTGTGAAGTTGTGAACTGAACCAATCTTTCAACAGATCAATGAATCAACTACTTTTTACCCTGTGTTTACTGTACACTGTACATATACATGTTAGTTCTGTAATACAGTTGACTCTACAAACACACAAAACATGCTTGATATCTCTTGTGTTACTTTTCTTGCACTTCTAGATCTGCACATTTTGAATTCACTAGTGAGGGACTTTCTGTAGTCTTCTCATTGAGTCAATTATTTCAGGTATTTTATCCTTCTGTCTGTGGCTGGTGGTGAATATAATATCTACCAAATAAGCTACTGACCACTGTGGGGAATAATTGTCAACTATTCACATTAAAAGCTTTGCATCTTCAACACAAATGTCAAATAAGTACTCTTACATGGTTCTGTGAAACCTGGCGTACAACCAAAGCCATCTCAAGAAAGCTCTAGACTTTGTAAACAAGTGTCTCCAAACAAAACTAAAAATTTATTGGTCGGATAAATCTCAAATGAAGACCTATGGCGAATAACAGGACAAAAGTAAATGGAGTTGCAGATCAAGAGAAGATGCTGGGGTTGGCTGGGTCACTCTGCACAAACCAATTACCAACACCACCAAGCAGGCCTTGAGATGGAACCCACAGGGGAAGTGGAAGAGAGGGAAGCTGAGGAACTGCTGGTGACCATCAATGGAGTGGGAGATGAGAGGGGCAGGCTTCAACTGATTACAGGTGGAGAGACAGTCACAAGACAGAGAGGGATGCAGGGCTCGAAATTAACTTTTTCGTTCAGGAGCCAGCTGGCAACTAACGGAAAACTCTTGGTCGCCAACTTATTTTACATATAACTTACACATCAGAACACGATTTTATACGTTACTTTGCATGCAAGAAAAGTCACAATTGAAGAGCGAAAACAATTATAAACAACACAAGTAACAATGTGAAGTATATATGAAATAATTCATATTTGAACTGCGGTTGTAGATGAAAGTGAAGAATGATCATTGAAGTAAATTTTCCAATTTAAGCAGTTGGAAAGAAGAAGCCTGAAAAAATCAGGGCTTCAATGGGATTCGAACCTGTGACCTCTGCGATACTGGTGCGAT